AATTTCAAATTCTTTAATTATGCAAGCATGTGGGGAGTAGCCTACCAAAGCAAGACCTTCATAATTACAGCGTGCTTTTCACTTACCAGCGGCAGGCATGTTTACTACCAAATCATTTAATCGTCGCATATTGGTCCAAATTTTATTTTTATTACTTATTTTTAGCCTAATTTAACTCGATCGAATCTACTTTTCTAGCAAGCAAAGTCATCAAGAAGACATGAAAGCTACATTCAATAATTATAAAATTAATAACGAAGACATTCTCATATGAAATATCTGACCAACTATATGTGAGATTATGAGATGGTAAATTGTATTATAGAAATATACATAGTTTGTCAAAATTGTTATTACTATTTTATTCCACAACTGACACAAATATACGTAATAATGTTATTATAAGCGATAAATCCTACTTTTCATAGAATATGGAGAGTATTTCATGGACGAATTTAGTGTTGAATATTCTGTCTTCAATGTTGTTGCATTGAATTTGAAGAATACTGGAAGAAGATCAAATACAAGAAGAGGAACAAAAGTTTTATATATTTACATCGAAGGGTTTAAATACCCAAAAGGTATGAGAAAACCCCTACAATTTTTAGTGACTGAAATACCTCACATGAAAATGTGAAATAAAAGCTAGAATTGAATGACAACAATATAAATAAATCATATTAATCTGCACGTCTGATATGCAACATCGCCACACCCATAATGTTTCGATGTTCCACATCGTAGGCTCCGAGTACTTCAGATTTATATGGTGATATTTTTGAGCTTGTTGACACTACGCCTTCATCCAATCTAACTTGTATCACATCTTTATCATTGTCTTTAGGTTGACGACGATTCACCCTCCAATCTTGTCTCGTTTCTTGATTTGCTACTTCGTGTGATAATCCACTCAGTATGTCGTCAATAAGAAAATATTGACAGACTATGCAAATATATTTATGGTTTCTTCATGCTCAGCGCAGGTGAACTCATGAATATTGTCATGTTGCCACTTTGTCTCCTTGCCTTGAGGAGTCAACAAGAATGCAACACATATTAGTCTCGTATCAATGTCCGGCTCCTCATAAAAATGGGTGGACATTCTTATATTTCATCGGAATCAACCCCTAAATTTGGGATTAAAAAGAGCAAAAATAAGTGCATTGTAACTCGTCTCAACGTCAATCCAAAACTCCGTCGACGAATTACGCAGATCTAGTTTTGTAGATGCTCCTCTAGCTACTACACCCATTTGAGAAATTTCGTATAGTCCGTTGTTGGAACCCTTTGAGTGGCCAAGCAAGGGTTGGGCACCTAGGCCACCTAACCAACCCAAAATGAATTCTTGTTGAGCCATCAGATTGACAATATGTTGTCAATATAAAAATAAATAGATAAATAAAATACGAGCTCGCCAGCAAAAGTTCGGTTCGACCCTCGAACTCGTGAATGGAGGTGGGTTAGAGGTTAAACCCTAAATTAGTTGAACGACCACAAGTCAAGTAAACAAACAAATTTTCAAAATCCAACATGACATTCTTTTTTTTATTCCGAATTCAACTTCAACTAATGAGAAGAAACAAAAGGATACATTTGTGCAAAAAACAAAAACTGATACAGTTTTTTGTACTTAAACCGACACAAAGGACAACAATAGTCATATACTCTATTAAAAAAAAGGTATTTTTAAGTACATATTAATTTATTTTTTAAATGAAATATAAAGGTTAGGACGTAGCCATATAACTGTACATTAGAGCTATTCTTTTGGAAAATTACTGGTATAGGTATATTTCAATTTTTTATTTTTAAGTCCACACCTCTATTTTGATATTTTCTTCTTGGATTTGTTCTCTTTTTATATTTAATTATTTCTTGGATTTTCTCAAGTATTTTTAACTTTTACAAATTGGTGTCTTGTGCATGAGCATATTTGATTTTCTACTACTTTTATTAATTATATTATTAAACCTACAATTTGCATAGTTTGTCTTATCTCTCTTATTTTAAAGAGAAAAAAAGAAACATGAAATTAGAAAATTAGAAAGCGACTAAATTGAATTATTACAGCAGTAATTTGTTACATTCGATGTCTCGATTATGTTATAATTTAATAATTTCACATATTTTCCTTTTTCTAGATAATAATCAGAAGAAAACGTTTTAAGATAAAATAATCATACTTTAGCCAATATAATAACCTTAAACAATATTTCAATAGGAAATTTTTTTAAAAAAATCGGAATTGCATAAAACAAAATTCGAGGAGTAGAAACTTATAGAATGTCAAATGATACTTTAAACTTTGAATTTGGAACTAGGGTTGCTCCGTAGGATAGATCGCTCAAGATCTTCGATCTCTATCCAGACCGAATGAAAAAAATCTGCTAAAAATCTAATTTTAATTTCTACTAAGCAAGCGCTAAATATTATTAATATGCTTCTCATGTCTTCTCAAAAAATAAGTGGGCTTCTCTTTTACAAAATTGTGTGGGACAATTTGGCCAAATTCTTGATTAAAAAAAAAAAGCACTTTTTATAATTCAAGCACGACTTTATATGCCCCACTATTGCAACAAATAATGGGATTGTGCTCTGTGCATTGACAAAACCATTAATGTTGAATTTAGAATGGTATAATAGATTGGAAGCCATCATTCCCGGCTTAATTACGGGAAGAACGAAGTCATCGCTCGTTGTAACATGTCCACATTGCATGTACGGATTACGTACTTAATTAATGACTCGTTTATTTTGTCAAGGCCGTATTAAAAATAAATCAGTTTTATTGAAAAAAAAAAATTCTTTCATATATTAGCTCAGTGCAACAAAGAAAACTTCGTCCTCTGTTCTATTATAGAATGTTGACCACAACAGTATCTCCATAATTGATGGTTCACAACTAACATTGTGGGCCTATTTACAGATTGGTTTTGAATGAAATGGGCCGACAAAACCCAGTTTGATTGATACATTAATTCTGCGTGTTCAAACTTGAGAGTTGTTTGGGGAAATAATTCTTGAACAGCCTCAGTGACAGGCTGTGTTAGTGTCTGTCTGTTTTTCTAAATACCAATGAAAATGTGACAAGTGTAAATTTATTTTAATTAATGTCATTGAACCTGTTTGTGTAACAAAATTTTAATTCACAAAATTTGGGACCCATTTCAGGGGTCACCGAATTAGTCCTATTAATATATATATATTTTTTTTAAATTTTAAATATAATCCAAAAGTTTGTGGATATAATTTTCTCTCCATCCTCGTGTTTGGGTCAAATTTGGTAGGATTAGACCTGCTTAAGAAAATTGGTATATTGATCAATTTGGATTTTGAAATCATCTGCTCTGTACTCAACTCAAGTAAATAAATGATTTAAAAGGAGTCACGATTAGAAACTTTTATAAAATTTCCGTGACGCAAGAGATAACTTCTAGGTCGGGATTTATTCGTCTGGTTTATATTTCACTCTTAACTGCTACAATTTTACATGTAAATTCAAAATTTTTTTCCTATTTTTTAACAATACCTTTTTCAAAAATTCACCGTTACAAAGTATATTTCTCTAAAAAACGGGTCTCAAACAAACACTAATCTAGTGAAAAATGCAGACGCCTCCCAAGTGCAAGACAAAATCATTTCTTATAAAAAGTTTAACGAGTTCTTGGCTGTGAAGTCTAAAACTATCCATATTGAAAAACTTCATTTGAAATCGTCATAATTAAGCAATTATAAATTATGCAGGCAAGCAATAAGCATATATATAGTATAACCTCTATAAATGAAGATAGATGGGATAACGTAAATCTATTAATTAAAAGAGGTATTAGTTTATCCCTAAATTAATAATATATTAATTTCTAGAGTATATTTATGATTCAACATACATGCATTAACCAGTTACATATTAATGGTATTCTACTAAAATAATCAAGTAATCAACTAAATAAACATTAATCAACTAAAAATAACCAAAAATTTAAATACAGTGTACCTGTCTATTTATTCAAATAAAATTCATTGTTGACTCAAAAATCGGGCGACTTAAACTATCACTTAAATATCTCGATTTATCGAAGGTTTTCCATTTTTAGAATTTACACATTTTTTGTTTGATTTGTCTTATAAAAAATTATTTCTGTAACTAAGATCATTAAAAAAAAAAACAAAAACAAAAACAATCAAGGACTGTGAACACTTTTTTTTTTTAAAGTTGTTTTTAATATTAGTTATTTATACGTTAAAAAATGCTAATTCTTAAAAAGCAAAGTTATTTCATGTTTGAAAAACTTTTAAGCAAAAAAGTTACTACTTATTTTTGGCTTTGATTAATAAACAACTGCAACTGTTTTCTCTGTTCGTCGTTTGTTTAGATTTTTTTTTTTTTTTTTATCGCATTTTAGTTTCTTGCTTTTCTTTATGAATAATGCTATTTGTAGTCACTTATTATGCAAGTTGCCCTACGTGGCATACAGATTAGTAATTTAAGGGTATCGTTATTTCCATCTACACTTTTTATATATACATCTACTTTTAAAAATAAATTTTTATTATATTTTAAATCCTATGTAAATTTACTTAAATAGACATAAATAGAATTAAAAAAAATACATAACTCTAAATTGATCCACTAATTTTTATTTCCATTAAATTATCCTAAATCTTTTTTTATTCTTTTAGAATTTGTGTTTAACTAGAATCATTTATTATCCATTAAAAGAACATTATCTAAGCTCGTAAGAAGTCGTGCTAAACCACCTAGCAAGATGGTGGCTTATGCACTCTAAATCCAACAAAAAGGAATCTAAATCTTGAATCTTTTAATAGACGTTCCATTAAATCAATCAAGAACTATGTTATTAGTTCGTACACAGATCTTTGACTCATCATTTTCCTAAAATAAAATAAATTCTAGCTAATGGCATTTTTTTCAGCAATATCAGAAAATATTGCAACAATAAAAAGCAAATCAATAATAGAAAAAGGGATCTAGACAGAAGTTTTAAATTTATAAGTGGAACATTTCAATAAGAAATGGAAAGAAAACAATAGTAAAATCAGTACAAAAGCATACTCGAAGGAAAATATATTCAAACTAACAACATTATTTTAATGATTTTCAGCTATATTAAGGTGGGGAAAAAAGATATTATGATTGAGTTTTAACTAACCCTTTCTAGCTTCCACATTCTCCTCGCAGGAATCAAAGACCTATACAAAACCTTGAGGTTAATTTTATTCAACTAATGGAAGGAAAATGAAAAAGAAACATAAAAGTTCAGATGAGTTAGCCTTCGATTTCAACTTGTAATTTCTCAATAGTAAAATATGTGTCAAATGTACACATTTTATAATTTTGGAAAATTGCATTGCTACCACAAGATTTTAAACAAATTAAGCTGAAAGATGAAAATCTAATGCAATGACATATCACAGATTAATACTAGAAGTGGGAAAAAGAAGATGAAATTCTTGAGCTGAATACATAGCAGAGCATTAGATACAAACGAATGGCTGAGTTTAAAGGTGACATACATTTGACCGTGGCTGGAAAAATAACAACAATTCATCCCTGATAAATAATGGTTTGC